GCAAAAACCCGTGCGACAGAATTACATTTTTTATTTAACACAAATTTTCAACTGAAATAGATTGTTGTAAATTTATTTTCTTGGAAAAATGGGAAAATAGAAGAAGCGTGATTAAGATGCAGAGATTAGAACTTGCCATCTCTTGAAAATACTTTTTTGGCTCTCTTCTCTTCGCGCACATCAAATTGAAATTAAGGATGTAGAGATCGGTTAAATGGAAAAATTATAGATACTATATCATTTGACCGTAATGATAAAATACATCTACGATAACCTGGTTTTTTGGTCAGTAAGTAGATTCAAGAAGAAAATTAAACTGTTTTACTTATATTTGGATTTGATTGCAAATATTGTAGAAGACTATCAACAAGCACAAAAATATATACCACAGAATCATAAAATACACACGAATGAATTAATTCTGAAATATGAAATAGGAAAGTACAATATTGTGTTCAATGAAAGGTTGACAAAACAAATAAGTAAAAAAAAAACAGTTTGTCTTATATTAAATTCAAAGGAAAAAATATTACAGGAAAGAGGAAAAAGAACAAAAGCAAAAGGATGAAAAAATGGTCCTTATCTTTACTTAGAGTACCAAAAAGGAAAATGAAGGAAAAAAAGGAAACCAAATCGAAAAAGATTTGTAAAATTAACGCCTAATAAATCAGAAAATAGCGGATTATTCATTCCATCCTTATAAGAGGGAAATACATGACGAGAGGATCCCTTCGATTGGCTTCATTCTTTGCTGGACAGTCATTTAATTTGTTGAATCAGAAATTAGAGAATGATTCATTCACTCGGTAGATAGTGAAGGCTATGTTGAAAATCAAAACCTACCATCGGTTGTTTACAATTTCTAATGAGCGACCGTGCTTCGCCTGTTTCATCTTCTTCAAAAATTGCCGTCGGGACGAGGAATCGGACGGCAACTAGTGCTCGCTCCATCGAGCTTCAACTAGCGACTCTCACGGCATCAAATAGCTCCCACAAGTGCCTCCCATGGTGGAGGCTGTGGTATATTGCCGCGACAAAATTAGGGACATCAATTGTGAAGAGTACGCAATGTGCTTTGGATCTTTATCTTTCAAGAAAGGAGAAGAGTGTTTGGTGCTCAACAACTGCAACCACTCGCATTGTGAGAAGTGCATCGAGAAATGACTCCACCAATGTTTGAATTGCCCGCTTTGTCAGGTGCCATTCGGGAACAGATAGTGCCAACTAACATTGGCTCCTATGTTTTTTTATCAAATCAAGGCCTGGTTGGTTTATGGATCCGATCGATATTTTCCGTTTTGATATGGTGTTCGGGTAATTCACCCTGATCGATGTAATCCATTCTAATCCTTATTTTTCATTTTGGCCAAACTAATTGAATTGTTTTTTTATCCAACTACGTCAGCCTCTAACTTAACATATAGAAGTTTTCTTTTAGGATGAACCGATAAGCCCGCATTTGTCTTCCTTAACAATATTCAACAAACATTTTAAAGAGTAGTTAGCTTTATCAAAATCTTATTCTAAATGTTCTGATTCATGAATAGTAAAAAATAAAGGCATTGGCAGATTTTGTACTTTTTCTTTGACCAATGTAGCGCCTCAACTATATGTATTTTTTTCTTTTTGGGATTGGCTTCCCCCAGGGACTTCTGCAGCCTATCCGTTTGCTTTGCAGATAATGTGTCGGTGTTAGAATGCCCCGAGCCCCTAATTCCCCTCTGATATTTGTCTTCCTAAGGAGAAGGCAATATCCCCTTGTTATTTTACATTTGTATAAGACTAAGGGAGAGATCTTAGCATATGTAGCCTTTTAATGTCCTGCTCCGGACAAATCATTTCGTTATTCAAGTAAACAGAAATGTTGATGTGACTGATAATTTGACTGATGTGTCATCCTACTTAGCTTTTAATTTTTTTTGGATAAATGCATTATAAGTCCTAAAACTTATCACGAAAATACATTTAAGTTCTAAAACTTGTCAAATTGATGTAATCAAGTTCTTCCATTAACTCCGTCTAATTTGGTTAATGGAAAATATTGACCTAACTTTTTTTTTATTATTTTTTCTATCCTACGTGACGCTAGGGCCGTCAAAATGGGTCACAGACTCATATTTTAAATCACATTTATGAAAATAGGTCATGTATAGGTTACCTTAAAATTAAGATACGGGTCATAAATGGGATTAAAAAGGAAGCCCAAATAAGATGGGTTTTGTTGGGTCTTTCACAAAGACATTTATAAAAGCCGCTCACCCTCATGAGCATACCCTCATGATCTCTGCGCTCGCTTTAAGCTATTCAGCAATGGAGATCTGAACGCGGTAGAACTGACGACGACGGAGCGGCTATGGCAACAAATATTACTTGAAGCTATCATGCACCACCCATCGGACCTCTATGGCCACACCTGAGAGACCTCCGCTCAAGGCCCAACTCTCTCCTACCTCTCCTCTCTCTCCTCTGCTTCGTCTCCATCTTCTTCGCCCTCTCTCTCTTCGGACGGACCTCCCCGATCTCCGCCCGCTCTTACCAGCCCTCGAAGTGAAGTGGAAGCCTCGGCTCGACTTCGCTGCCTCCAGTCGGCCCTGTGATTACTTTGTCAAGGAAGCATCAACCCTGCGATTTGCCATCTTTTGATCCCGTTAGGAGCCGTTTTCATTTTATCTTGCATATTATTTTTATTTGTTTAATTTTGAAGAATTGTGGGGCCTTTTTGTTTATTTTTCTCATGGGTTTGGGTTACATCTGAGTTGGGTTGGGTATGGATCATTTAAATTGCTTCGTAAGTAAATGGGTGGATTTGGGTTGAACCCATTTATGACCCACCCAAACCCAATGACCCACCCATTTGCCACCTCTACGAGGCGCTAACGTGGATAAACCGACGTCGTTTTAGTCCAAATATGAATTTTTATACAAATTTTATTTAAATTATATTAATAATAAGCAAACTTAAAAAATACACAAAAAATAAAAAAAAAAGGGACAGGAAAACTCACCATCGCTAGGAAGGGCTAGCGGTTCATCGCAAGCAAGGGCATGCATGCCCTCGCCCACCCTCGCCTAAGTTTTCCTTTCCTTTTTGTTTGTTTTTTGTATTTTTTAAGTTTGCTTATTTTTAATATAAGTTAAATAAAATGTGTATTGAAAATCAGATTTGAACCCAAATGACGTCGTTTTAGCCTTATATTTCATGTTTTAGCCATATAGGAGAGAGAAAATAATAAAAAAAAGCCACATCAGCATTTTTCGTTAGCCAAGTTGGACGGAGTTAATGGAAAGACCTGATTGCATCAATTTAACAAGTTTTAGATTTAATTTCACTATTTGAAATTTTTAGGACTCAATTGCATTTTCGTGACAAATTTTAGGACTTCTAGTGCACTTATTCTTTGTTTTTTTCGGAAAACTTTTCTAATAAAATTAAAACAAGATAAATATATTTAAAAATAGAGAAAAGGAAAATAAAAACTTTCATAAAAATAAAGAAAATAAATATGAAAGACATACGAATGTTGATTGTTGACAAAGGAAAACAGCAAAAATTGGAACATTGCAACCTTTGTCGCTTGTGGCCACTGTGCAGCTGCCCTTAGGCAACACGACACGGGTCAGGGACCCTGGTGAGATCACGCGTGGAGTTGAGCGATCCCAGCAAAATCTAACTGATTTGGGGTTGCGCAAATATTAATTCCATAAGGGGTTAATATCACGAAAAATCTCAAACTGATATATAAGTAATAAATTTATTCCAAATTAATTTTTTGACCATAAAAAATCTCAAACTGTTAGGTCTATAATAAATTTACCTCAAACTAATTTTTTGACCACTAAAAACTCCAAACTAGTACACCTGTGACAAATTTACCCTCCGTTAAATTGGATTAATATCACGAAAAATCACAAATTGGTAAGTCTGTGACAAACGGAGGGGTAAAATCCTAAACCGGTACTTTCGTCAACTACCACGTGCTATTCAACTCAGAAATTTGACGGTAAAATTTAACGAAAACTAACGGAGGGTAAAGTTGTCACATGTATACCAGTTTGGAGTTTTTGGTGGTCAAAAAATTAGTTTGGAGTAAATTTATCATAGATGTACCAGTTTAAAGTTTTTCATGGTATTAACCGTTCCATAAACTATTAGTTCTAAGCGAGATCATAAAAAACCAACACTAGATTTTAAATTAACACTTTTAAGCAATATTTGATTTAAACAAAAAGATAGAACCATGTTGTGTAGTGTCGAAGAAAAGCTTCCAAGCCAGGACAAAACCACTCACTTACGCTCCATTTGTTTAGCGAAAACGAATAATTTAGAAAAGATTTTCCTAAAAATGATCACTGGTATCGCTTACAAAAATAAACGAACAAAAAATATTTTTCATTGACTAATTATTTCAAACGATAGAAGCGATCATAATTAAAAAAGTATTTTCTAAATGATTCGTTTTTCGTGAAACAAACACACCCTTAATATGAATAATGTGGTCTTATTCTTATTTAAGCTTTCAACCGAAATGGTATCTAATGGAGAATGAGGGAGGATTTTTCATTATGCTTCAAAAGAAAACAATAAAGTATTATAGTTTTGCAATTTCAAGTCAACATGACACGCTAGAAATCCACATAGTTTTCCCCATTAAACATCAGATTTATCTAATTGGTGTACATGCTGTATTTCATTTAAATTAATTAATGAAAGGATGACATAAATATATTAAAAGATATTAGGGATTTAATTGGATCAACCGGAAGTTTTGGGACGATAGCGAACATTACTCAAAATTGATTTAATTGATTCAATTGAAAGTTCAAATATGACACTACACATCGATAAAAGTTCATATATTGCTAGTACTATTATCTCTTAAAGCAATAGAAACTACACTTCATTTACATCTCATATCAAAGAAGGCAAGAGATGTTGATCCATTGCATTTTGCAAATTCACTTCCTGATCACTCTGCAAAAAGATGGAAATAACTGTGAAATGGGATCTTCCCAGAAGTCTTCCCATAATTATTTCTGGTGACACGATTTGAAACTATAAACATCGCACTATTTCTGTAGCGTTCATGGAGAAGCTATGTCGTCAGTGAAAATAAAAAATCACATGGTTGAGATTGGTGAGAACTACAAAGATATTCAAAAGGCGATCGTCACCATAATTGAAAACCAAACACAATAGCACATGAAAACTTCAAATCTTACCATCTCCTAAAATGCTCCAAATTTTTTGACATTAAGATTGCGAAGTTGCTCTAAACTGACTGCAGAGAGTGGCATATCCAGGGGTACTGGAAAGCAAAGCTCACGTGAGACTTGTCGCATGGTCGGTCGAAGCCTCGGATCGGCTTGCAAGCACTCGAACGCTAGCTTGGCGATCAAGACCACGTCCTGCTCATCTCGAAGGCCAAGTTTAGAAGGCGAGAGACGTTGATCCAACACATCCTTCAACATCATCGACTTAGTTTGAGCGGACAATGAACATTCCCGTGAGACATGATCTCCTGGATGCTTTCCCACGATTGTCTCTAATGCAACGACTCCAAAACTATATACATCACACTTTTCGGTAGGAACCGTAGAGTAAGCCAACTCTGCAAGTGGAGAATTTACTATTTTTTTTAATCTCGATCATAAGTTGTATTCAAGTTGACAACATTACTTCCCATGGCATGACGTGTGACGATTACAATTACAGATTTCTACTTAATCTACACTTACAACACTGATTTGAGTATGGGAGTTTATGCTTTGGCAAAGTTCAAAAATTTTTGTTCGATGCTTATAATACGAGCATCTTCTAGGTAACACGAATTAATATCCTTAAAATGGATTGATTATGAAGTTTTCCTCATTTTCCAATTCTTACTTTTGAGGAAAATCGAAAAGCTTTTTCATCAATACTGAACTTGAAAGCTCTAAATAAGTATAATAAATTTCCATAAGACGATTAAATAACTAATGAACTGCACTAAACTAGTAAAAGTTCAATTTTAGAAGTATAACACAGAATGCCATCGAAACTGAAGCAAAAATTACAAAGTACCTGGAGCAATATAGCCGATGGTGCCAGCAATAGTAGTCCAGTTTGATGAATCCGGCCTCAACAATCTTGCAGTGCCAAAATCAGAAACATAAGCCTCATAATCGAGATCCAATAGAATGTTGTTACTGGTCAAGTCTCGATGTAACAACGGAGGTGAACATTCGTGATGCATATAGGACAACGCATCCGCAACTCCTCGGACCACATTTATCCTCTTGTCCCATTGAAATTCTCTGGCTCTTTCATCATCGTTCAAAACTGTCCTCAAGCTTCCTCTTTCCATGTACTCATACACCAAAAAACAGCGTTGGGCATGAGAGCAGAAGCCATAAAATTTCACGATGTTACGGTGACGTATATTTGTTAAGGCTTGAATTTCCCTTTCAAATGGTATCAAATCAATGATCTCACTATCTTCCTGGGATGACGAGGTTTGCTTGATAGCAAACGTTTGACCTTCTGATATCTCAACTTTATAAACAATTCCATATGATCCTTTACCCACGTAGTACTTGGAGTCAAATCCTTCCGTGGCCTCAACGATTCGATCATAGAAAACTTTTCCATCATAACTCAAAATACTCATGAAATCCAAATCATTTGCCCGCTCATTGTTCTCTCTCTTCATAATCCTTCTTTGACGATGATTGACGATTACAAGAACAATCAAGGTGCAAGAGAGAAAGAGAAACCCCAAGAACGAGATAATGAGGATAACCTTGATTCTAGCTCCAGCATGCTTATTACGTTTCATGTTCCCGGTAGAATTGCAGTTCGGTAAACCAACAACATTTCCACAAAGCCCTTTGTTATGCTGAATTGCCTCAAATGGAGCCTCATTGAAAGCCTTGACATTAGGGAGAGGACCTTCCAGGTCATTGTAGGATACATCAATAGAAGTCAAGGCCAACATATCACCAAAAGTATGTGGGATGGAACCGGACAGGCGATTGTGGGAGATATTTAGAACTTGCAAGTTTCTCAGTATTGCAAGCTCTCCTGGTATATTTTCTGACAAAATGTTATAACTCAAATCAAGAACCTCGAGGACTTGTGTGTTGCCTATCTCTGGAGGAATGCTTCTCCAAAATTTGTTCCTGCTCAAGTTCAAGGTCAACAAGCTTTTGCATGAGCCTAGCTGCACCGGTATCGATCCGCTCAAATTGTTTGATGCTAAGTTTAGATGCGCCAGATGGGATAAAAGTCCAATCTCAGTCGGGACATTTCCCATGATCGCATTGCTGCTTAGGTCGAGCTCGAACAACATGGACAGGCTTCCCATTTCCCTCGGAATCTCTCCACTTAAATTATTTGAAGAAAGGTCCAGTAACTGTAATTGAGCCATCCTTCCAAATATTGCGGGTATCTCACCAGAGAGGTCGTTGTTTGATATCCTTAAGCTCGTCAAATTACGACAATGCTCCCATTTCCACGAAAGTTCGCCTCTCAAATGATTGTGGCTCAAGTCCATAAAATATAGATGCGGATATATTCCAAAAGCATCTGCTATGTTTCCAGTAAGTTGGTTTCCGTCAAGCCTCAATCTGATTAATGTGCTACAGTTCTCTAGGCTCGTGGGGATGGGACCCGTGAAATGATTATTGTTGACGATGAAATATTGCAATGATCTCCCAAGACATACATCTTCTGGCAGTTCCCCCTCTAGTTCATTATTAAATAGCAGCAAAGAAGTCAACCGTGTTAACTTATTGAATTCAGAAGGCAATGAACCAAAGAATTTATTGTCGGCAAGGTCCAGTAGAGTTAGATTGGCCAGGCTTCCAATTGATGCAGGGATTGGACCGGTCAAATTATTATCCCAAAAAGATAAATATTTAAGAGAAGTGAGCCTCCCGATTTCTGAAGGTATCGGTCCTGAAAGTCCATTTTGAGAGAGGTAAAGACTAGATAAACTTGTCAAGTTTCCGATGGAACGAGGAGTTGAGCTGCTGAGTTTGTTTTCGGATAAGTCAAGTGTAATCAGAGAAGTGAGGCTCCCGATTTCTGAAGGTATGGGTCCCGAAAGTCCATTTTGGAAGAGGTAAAGACTAGATAAACTCGTCAAGTTTCCGATGGAACGAGGAATTGAGCCATTGAGACTGTTGGATGATAGGTCAAGATCAATAAGAGAAGTGAGCCTCCCGATTTCTGAAGGTATGGGTCCCGAAAGTTCATTTTGCCATAAAAAAAGAGACTTCAAATTCCTCAAATCACTTATCTCTCTCGGAATGGAACCAGAAAAGTTATTTCGCGAGAGGCCGAATTCCATTAAATTGCCTAATTTTCCAAGAGAACTAGGAATGGGCCCGGAAAGTTGGTTTTTCCATAGATAAAGATGAATCAGGCTGCTCAAGTTCCCTAGTGAAGAAGGGATAGGACCTGTCAAATTATTATCCGCAAATTCTAATTCTGTAAGAGAAGTGAGCCTCCCGATTTCTGAAGGTATAGGTCCCGAAAGTCCATTTTGGAAGAGGCAAAGACTAGATAAACTCGTCAAGTTTCCGATGGAACGAGGAATTGAGCCAGTGAGTTTGTTTATTGATATGTCAAGCTCAATAAGAGAAGTGAGCCTCCCGATTTCTGAAGATATGGCTCCCGAAAGTTCATTTTGCCATAAAAAAAGAAACTTCAAATTCCTCAAATCACTTATCTCTCTCGGAATGGAACCAGAAAAGTTATTTCGCGAGAGGTCGAATTCCATTAAATTGCCTAATTTTCCAAGAGAACTAGGAATGGGCCCTGAAAGTTGATTTTTCCATAGATAAAGATGAATCAGGCTGCTCAAGTTCCCTAGTGAAGCAGGGATAGGACCGGTCAAATTATTATCCGAAAATTCTAATTCTGTAAGAGAAGTGAGCCTCCCGATTTCTGAAGGTATGGGTCCCGAAAGTCCATTTTGCCCCATGTAAAGAATTTTCAAATTCCTCAAGTCACTTATCTCTCTCGGAATGGAACCGGAAATATTATTGCGCGAAATGCTTAATTCGGTTAAATTGCCTAATTTTCCAAGAGAAGCAGGAATGGGCCCTGAAAGTTGATTTTTCCATAGATAAAGATGAATCAGGTTGCTCAAGTTCCCTAGTGAAGCAGGGATAGGACCGGTGAACTTGTTTTCGGATAACTGAAGTTCCAAAAGAGAATCCAACCGTCCAATCTCCCGAGGAATGTGTCCACTTAGGTTGTTCGCACATAGGTGCAAATAATGAAGACTCTCTAGCATACCTAAACTTGGAGGAATGTCCCCGGACAGTTCATTGAAGCAAAGATCAAGAGAGTTGAGTTTGGAAAGGTTACCGATACTTGAGGGAATGGAGCCATAGATCGAGTTGTTGGCAAGTTCAAAGCTAACCACACCGGTTAAGGGCGAGAAGTCGAGGCCGTCTAGAGTTCCTCTCAAACCGAGATAGGAAAGATTTAGATGGGCGATGGCTCCATAGTCGTCGCAAGCGACACCGGTAAAGCCGCAAGGATTGTCGCCGTGCCATGAAGTGAGGAGAGACTGGCTTTGGTTGTCAAGAGTAGATTTCCAATTCAGGAGAGCCTCAGCTTCATCCTTATTCTCGGTCGCGGGGACAGTGGAAAAAGGAGTGGAGGAAACAGAAACGCCTGCACCATGAAATGAAGCAGTGCCAACCAAGAAGATTGAGAAGAAGAAGAAGACCACTAAAAGAGACTGGGTGGACAGCATAAAGGAAGAAACCATGATTTGGGGGAGGGGATGGTTGGGTTTTGAAAGGTGGGAGATGGTTCAGGTCTGCATATTGTTAACAAGATTGATGACTATACTTGTATAGATTTGGAAAATCAGTCACCCGAAGCCTCTATCGAGCACAATTCCTATTACAGCTGTACCGCGTTTTCCGGAGAATGGGTCCGTCTCAGTGACGATATATTTGCAAGATGAAAGTCTTTTCCCTTGCCAATCGGTTTAGCGCGCGCCTTGGGGATAACGAAGAAATAGCGCAGAACCACAAAAGTGTCAATCGTTGGTCATGCTTGACTTACTTTTCCAAGTCTTCATTGAAATTGACATGTCAACCATATTTGTGGAAAATGGAAGTCCTGACCGTGGGTGGCTTTATGGCTCCAAATTGACACTCAGATTTTGGGTAGATGAGTGGGGTGTTGAAAGGGAATATACACTATGTGGGATTTTTTTCCAAATGATATTTTGTAGAAATCGACCAAATTTTGATCGTGCATAATTTTTTTATTTGACATCCGATTGACTCGGTTCCAATTCCGGCGAAACGGTTCTGTAACGTGCGTGTGATAAAGATTCGAGTGATTGGTCTGTGAAGAGAGCTTGGATCTCTTTTTGCACAGTAATTTTTGCGCTTCCCTATCTCGGAGAGAAAACAAATCAGCAACAAGAATACGAGAAGGTTACTTGAGGGGAACCTAGGCCTCCAATACTGGAACAAGAGTTTAGTGAAAAGCTGAAAGTTCTTTTCGCGAGTTTTCTCATCTTGGTCAGGTCTTCAAGTCCATTGCCAAACATTCATAAATGGATTTCTGTTCCAAGTAATTCTAAATATTAACTTGTTTTGAACATTAAATACGTCCTTCACAAATTAAAGTTAAAAGGGTTTACAACCTATATCCGCACAAAATTTAACCCGAAAACTGCAACGCTATTAACTTAACTACTAAGTTCCGTGCACTCAGGAATTGTGCGTGTTGTTTGGGACGTTTGAAATGTCTAAAACGAGGAAGAGCGGTATAGAGGGTAAATAGATGGAGAGGTGAGAAAATTAGAAAAGGGGTAAAGCCCGGTTATTACATTAACACTTGCTTAAAAAATATTGCTTTGCAATTATTTACATTTTTAAGTTTATCTGCCTATTATGAGTGTTTTATAAAGAGAAGTATGAAGTGACTACATGAGAAATAGGAAGCAACTTCGGATGATTGGGAACCTCATTATTCTATAAGTGAGTACAAAATTAATTTATAAAGTAAGGCGATAAATACGTAAAAATACTTAAGAAAGTGAAAAAAATATTCAAATATCCAATAAAAGTCGACTACATCATCTTGTAGTCCAATTTTAAAGATCGGGCATTTCATCTCCAGCATCTTATTCTTTGGAAAACCCCTATTCTCAACCTCGCCGCTTGCCTCGCCACCGTCCGAATCCGATTCTACAGTACCTCCGTCACTCTAGTCTAGTTCTTGGTTTCTCGCTCTAGAAGGTTTTCCGAAAGCGGCGGGATTGAGAATTTGGTTTGCTCATTTTCTTTTTCACTGCTGAGACGCAAGAGAGTTGATGAGAAAATTTGCGATGATGGCAAATTCAGGAGCTTTGGCCAAAGAGTGTTAATTCAATTCGATTTCAGCTTAACCCGAGCGAGGGGTGGTCAAACTGTTAATTGACCCACACGGCTTAATTGAGTAGAATTAAAGTGATTATTAGATCCCATGTCGAGGACGTTGGTTTGGTGAAGGTCGGGTTTGATTGGGCCAGCTTGGCTTGACCGAAGATAACGTGCATTTTGATTGGCTGGCGAGGAGGAACTTGAACGTGAAGTTACCATAATGCCCCTCCCGGGACGATCTGCGTGACCCTTTTTCATTATGAAAATGGGTAGGGTTGACTTCATTAGTAGATCCTCATTTGCTCTTTTGCGAGAAAGTGCTAACATAATATATCCGAACTATAAAAACACAACGCAATGTAAATTATACTAGCAAAAGCCCGGGCGATGCTGGACTACCAAACTATATATTTTTTTTATATAACACAAATTTTCAATCGAAACGAAATATTATATCTTTATTTCTAGAAAAAAAAATCCGAGAATAAAAGAAGTCCGCCAGATACGACGGCCTAACTCCACTGGACTATTACCGTAATTTCTACTTCGTTATGCGTCATTTTACTTTATATAAAGAAATGCGTGTTAGTGGACTGAAGGATCACTCGACGTGTGATAAGCCTCGGGCTTTCTCTCTTGGTACTGCACTTTGATGTGTTTAGCGATTACTACAAAGTATTCCTGATAAATCATCTTTCAGGATGACATGTAGAACTCTATGAAGCTAGAAAATGCTCCATGTAAGCGCCACCTACTAACATGTATTTAACACTTACCATGGCGTATTTTTTTCCCCCTGATCTCGTCACCTTAATGGCTTGACTTTTGTTATTATTAATCGTTCGAGATTTAACTGCCCACATAAGTTTCTATGTCTATGCCACGATATTCAAATTTCTCTGGAAAAATTTCTAAAAAATATCATATCTTTTCAGGTAAAATTTTAGAAATTCCTTAGATACAACATATGTAAAAGAAAAGGTAATTCATCATATTTAAAAGGTGCTTACGAGAGGTTTGGTTTCTTGATTCGATTGGGTTCCACCAACTCTAACAGTCCTTCCATGTTTCATGCAAAACAATTCTTCTCTGTTCATATAAGACTTTAGCCACGATAACACTCATTCATCATTCTTTTCTTTATATTGCACACGTATTGAATTTTTTCTGTAAGAATAATTTCTATTGACTTGTTTGTATTGTTCTGAAGGTTTTTACGTTAAAGAGTACAAGAGCGACGAGTACGTGTTCCACGTTTGAAGGGGAATGACCCTTTCATTCTCTATGAACTTTGAAGGGAAAAGTAATGCACATAATGTTCTATACAGGTGGAGAGAGGTTCGCCTATTTGCCAACTCGGTACTGAATTGGCGATGATTTCTGCCCCTCGGTCTACGCATCAATGGCGGCTCCGAAACGATTCCTCTGGTAATACCCGTTCCCGTCCTTTCTCAACCTCTCCGCTTGGCCCACCACCATCGCCTACGCCTCCCCCTCCGCATCTGGCCCCATCTCTCTCTCTCTCTCTCTCTCTCTCTCTCTCTCTCTCTCTCTCTCTCTCTCTCTCTCTCTCTCTCTCTCTCTCTCTAAGTCGAATTCGATTCTATATACCTCTGTCGCTCTCGTCTAGTTCTGGGTTCCTCGCTCTAGAAGCTTTTCCTTCGGGAACGAACGAAAGCGACGGGATTGAGAATTGGATTTGCTCGTTTTCTTTGTCACTGTTGAGATGAGGAAACTTGCGACGACGGAAAATTCAGGAGCTTTCTCGGAAGGAAGGAAGGAAATTGACGGGGAAAATGAAACGAGCATAGTGAGAAAAATTAAAATTCATTTTCTTTTTTTATTTTATCAATGAGTTAATTTAATAATCCAACACGGCTCAATTGAGAACAACTATTAGATCACATTTCCGAGGACGTTGGCTTGGTAAAGGTCGGGTTTGATTGGGCCAGCTAGGCTCGACCGAGGTTAACGAGCACTTTGATTGGCTGGTGAGGAGAATCTGAACGTGAAGTTCCCATAATCCCTTCATTTAGTTCTTACCCATTGTTCTTTTAATGTGAAAAGTACAAACATAATATATCTGAACTACAAAGAAAACAAGATACGATACACATACATATGAGCTAGCAAAAAACCCGTGCGATGCCGTGCAACAGAATTACATTTTTTTAGGCAAAAGTACACCAGAAGTGCCATAACTTGTGTACGGAGATCACTTTGGAGCCATAACTTTTTTTCGAATCACTTTGGTGTCAAGTCGGAGGAAAAGAGATCACTTTAGTGCCAATTTGGCCGGAAATCCGACGTGGCATTTTTTATTAATTTTGACGCCGACGTGGCTCGCCGGAGGCTGAGTCAGCGTGTACAGTCAGCATTTTTTATTTTAAATAATTTTTTCCAGCGTGTACAGTCAGCATTTTTAATTTTAAATATTTTTTTCCTTTTTTTTTTTCCTCTTCTTTTCTTTTTCTTTTCTTTTCTTTTTTTTCTTTTCTCCCCTCGTCGGCCGATTGCCGGTGGCCGGCCGGCCACCGGCGAAGCCCGGGAAGGGTTTGGTGAAGGCGGCCTTGCCTGGGCGGGCGAGGGTCGCCCTCGTTTGAGTTGGGCGTGGACGACCCTCGCCCGACGCCGGCGAGGGTCGCCCTCGCCAGATCTGGCGAGGGGCGGCCTCGCCTGTTGCCGGCGAGGCCGCCCCTCACTGGCCATGGGCAAGGCCGCCCTTGCCCAGCCCTTCCCGGCCGGCCACCGGTAACCGGCAGGCGAGGGGAGAAAAGAAAAAAAAGAAAAGAAAAGAAAAAGGAAAGAAGAGGAAAAAAAAAAGGAAAAAAATATTTAAAATTAAAAATGCTGACTGTATACGCTGGAAAAAATTATTTAAAATAAAAAATACTGACTGTACATGCTGACTCAACCTCCGGCGAGCCACGTCGGCGTCAAAAATTAATAAAAAATGCAACGTCGGATTTTCGGCCAAATTGGCTTTAAAGTGATCTCTTTTCCTCCGACTTGGCACCAAAGTGATCCGAAAAAAAGGTTATGGCACCAAAGTGATCGCCGTACACAAGTTATGGCACTTCTGGTGTACTTTTGCCTATTTTTTTTATTTAACACAAATTTCAATTGAAATAGATTGTCGTAAATTTAATTTCTAGGAAAAATGGGAAAATAAAAGAAGCGTGCTTAAGATGCAGAGATTAGAACTCGCCATCTCTTGGAAAATATTTTTTGGCCCATTTCTCTTTGTGTACGTCAAATTAAGGATGCAGAGATCGGTTAAATGGAAAATTTTTGGACGCTATAGCATTTGACCGTAACAGTAAAATACATCTGCTATATAACCTTCTTCTTTTTTTCATTCGGTAAGTAGATTGAAGAAGAAAATGAAATGTTTTACTTGTATTTGAAGT